ATGATTTTACTTACCTATGCCAACTAAGGATAATGATAATGTAGGAAAAATCTTTCGATTAATTTTCTTTATTTCTAAAATTCATCATCATTCAAGCCTTATCTCAACTATATCGGATTGGCTAAATGAATCTTATTTCACCATTCYGTTCTATTTAAAGTCATGCCCCCTTGTTAAACTATGTCCACTAAATCCTAAAATCAGCACAAATCCCATTTTGTGTTACTTCAACATTTGTGTCAAAATAAAAATAAGGGAAAATTCCTGATTAGTACCATGTACTTTGGATTTAGTTCCACTTTGGTCCCCAAACTTTAAAATGCCACAATTCAGTACCCGAACTTCCAAAACATGACGATCTAGTACCTGTTGTTAAGTAGTTGTTAACCAGCCATTAAGCAGCATTTGAAAAAGACACAAATACCCTTCGAGTGTCATCTAATTTTCTTTATCAACTATCAAAACATTGACAAAAAATTAACAGTCTCAAATCCTTGCCTCTTCTATTCAACAAAGTTGGTATCAGYAGAATGCCCACTCAAATGTAACCCCAACTTTCTTGAATGGAAAAGGCAAAGATTTAGGACTGTTAATTTTTTGTCAATGCTTAGATGGTTGATAAAGAAAATTAAATAACACTTAAAGAGCATTTGAGTCTTTTTTAAATGCCACTTAACGGTTGGTTAACAACTAGTTAACGGTAGGTACTGAATTGTCACATCTTAAAAGTTTAGGTACTGAATTGTTGCATTTTAAAGTTCGGGGACCAAAGTGGCACTAGGCCCATAGGGTAATAATCAAGAATTTTCCCTAAAAATTAAAAAAAAAATCTTTATATACTTCATATTAACTATTGAAACTTGACTTCTTGGATACATATTGTATAAAATCCAATTGGATAAATGATTAATTAAATAAAATAAATGAAAGTAAAAACAGAAATCTATATTTCAACTTTGTAAAACATACAAAACAAGAAAGAAAATAGATAAAAACTACTACATATTTAGTAAATGACTAAAAAGTCGTTTTGGAAGTAGTTAGTGAGAACCTTAGACACAAGTTTCCATTGAAAGAAAGCTTTTGCAAATACTTAATTCCACATTCTCTGATTGTAAGTAAATTTTAAGTGCATATATCCATAATTTTTCTTTAGGCTGCATTTTTCTTCTACGGAGACTGTTGTAAGCTTTATTATTTTACCCAATCCGAGTCTTTAGAAATAGACCGGGTTGTGTTTGGATCAGCTTTAAATGCACAAAGTCCCAAATTCATGTGTCAAACTCTCAAAACACTTTGGTCATCCCAAAGCTGAACGGAATCGACTCTAAATCTATTATAGGGTAGAGATTGATTATAAATTCTTGAAATCGATCTCACCTAGGTCGGCTTTAGGGTCTAGGGAACCTGCTAGAACCCAATTTGTCTTGAAATAAACCCAAAATACTTTTGAGGATATAAAGATTTGAATCCAAACACTCGTGATTACAAAGGCCATAAACTTACTTGATCAATAATTTATTTAAGTAATTTGATCATTTATTTTCATTTTAATATTTGAATGTGTATAATAACTAATATAAAAAATAATATTTACAAAATTTAAATTTAAATTTTATTTTTTGAATCATATAATGATAATTTACATATTAAATTATTTAATTAAATCAATAAATATAAATTTTAAACAATATATTATATTTACTAAAACCAACAAGTTTTACAAAATTTAAATTTAAATCTCAAGCGGCATGCGAGAGTAAAGAAAGAACAGGATTCCCTCCTTAAAACCAACCTAAAAACCATCAAAGCAAGCAAGAACCAACCTTCACGGAGCCCTATAAATAAGTTTCAGATTCTGTCATAAAACAGATTCCTATAAATAAGTTTCAGATTTTGTCATAAAACCGAACCGACCCATGTTCATCCCTAACTGAAAGCACATTTTCCAATGCATAATTACATTGATAATAAGATGTAAAGGTACATTAATAAAAAATAAGTAAATTTGCATTCAAGTGGTCTTTTGATAAAAAAGKCATATGTTTTATTGGAATTCGTGTTTGCATCTATTACAACTAAAAGTCTATTTGGTAAGAAGGTAAATTTGTTGCTGCAAAACTAACCCAACTTTACAATTTATATGGATCTTTTTACACTCTACATATTTGCATTCACACTCATTTGCATTGTTTCCAGGCACAGCCTAAATTTTCATTTGCAACAAAGTTCACCATATATTATGGGTTAGTGACAATTATTGATCCCTTCTAAATTTTCCTTTACGATGAAGACCCCCATGAACTTTCACTTTGCAACAAATACCTCCTGGATATTAATTCAAATGATGTAATGTACTAAATTACCATAATGCTCATATAAACTTTTCTTATTCTCTCTTATTTACTTCTTTCTCTTAAACCTTAAATGACCCAAAAATACCTCCTTTTTCTCCCAAACCAGCTAAAAATAATAAGAATCATTTCATTAACATAAAAAAAAAAACAAGTTTTTTTTAATTCTTGTTTCATTTCATTGACATGAATGCCACTTTTCATATTAACATATAAAAATTATCCACTTGTTTCTCTAATAAATTAAGAAAAACCAAACGAAACCTTAAAGTTATATCAAAAAGAAATCTCTATCATTTCATTTGAATACTGAATCCAGCCAAAAATCTGCAAGAATTTATTAGAGCAGTAAAAAACCTCTGCCATTTCTTTTTGTCTATCAGAAAGAAGCCTCTACCATTTCAAAGAAATAAGAAAAGGGTAGTTTGCGATTTAAAAAATTTTAACCAGATAAATGAGAATATTTTTTTCAAAATAAACTGACGAAATTTTAACAGAGGTATTTGTCACAAAGTGAGGGGAGGGGRGGGGGGGGGGTCACTAACCCCATAGTAGAGGGGGTCAATGTCGCAAATTAAAGTTAAAGGAGGGTAATTATCACTGACCCCATAATATGGGGGTCTTTGCAATTTACCCAAAAAGAAATCACCAAAATCCATGACCAGAATTTGGCGAAAGTTTTGGTGTTGGATGCCCGGACACAACCATTCTCCTTTTAATAAATCTGCCATAATACTGATGTGTTTGTATTTCATTGGGGGTTGTATGCAAGTATTGCAACCTAGGTCACAGCAGATGTTCTCTCAACAAGCTCACATTTGGAGAATTACTATCAAATAATGAAACAATTTGTAATTTAATTTTAAATAATAATTTTACTAAAGAAAAATAAGGAGTATTTGAATGATCTAACCAGCTCGGATGTTTGTTGATTAAATTATGTTAATCAGAATTTGACCAATTATCTCAATTCAATCCGATTATATTGAATAATTAAACTAATGTAAACAACAACTCAACTAACTTGCACTCACTCATACATCTGGTCTTTGTAATAGACCGGCCCATGGGCTTTCTTCAGTTTGCCGTTGGRCACAGTCCGATCCATGACCCCTTTTTTTTTTTTTTTGAAATCGAGTCATCTTAAAAAAAAAAAAGCGCAACTTGAAAGAGATAAGGTTGGAATTTTATCAAAATCTCAATGGACCCGACCCGAAGTCGAAATTCAAAACAGTATAAAATGTTAACTCGGGTCAAACCCAAATTGCACCCCTAATCAAAATACCCCGTACAAAGAGCGAGATAGTCGTAAGAGAGCATTTGATTGGGTTGAAAAATATTGTTCCGACAGGTAGGATTGAAACAAAAAAGAGTCTGAATATACCTGGCTGGGCTTTGTCTTGAGTGGACAAAGCTTGGAAGCTGGGTAGGATTGAACGTTTGGCCCATTTTTCAATGGGTCATGTTATTGTTAAGTGCTAAACCCACATTGATCCGACCCTAATAGGTTAGGGTTGGGTAGAGATAAAAAGTCAGATCAGAATTGAATTGGGATATATCTAAATCTGATGATTTGACTGATCTAGATTAATCTGAATACAAATTCGTTAAGGATGTTGGATATCCAAATATGATTCAGTCCAATTTCATTATCCATAGGTCTATAAAATATAACAAATTATTAACCAAAAAAATAAAACAATTTATACAAAGAAAAAAAAAACACAAGTATTCTTTTCAATCAATTTAGTCATATATTAACAAAATAGGGTGATCCGAATTTAATTCAAAAACACAAGTATTCTTTTCAAACAATTTAGTCATATATAAATAAAATAGGGTGATCCGAATTCAATCCTTTTTTTGAACAAATCTTATTTTTCTTTCCAATCCAAAAATCCAAAAGAAAAATATCCGAATCCAACAAAATAGAATCGGATCCAAATTCAAATTACATCATGATCCAATCCGTTGCAACCCTAGGGTTTATCCTAGTGAAATTTGTAATTGGATTTGGGTTGAAGGTGTCTTATGCGGAACCTGAGCCGTTAGCATTCTAACATTGAAATATTTGTGGGAGAGCTTGAACAATTTTCTCCCATTTCATTTTGTTTGGTCGGCTTGGATTGGGTTGGGTTTGGGTTGAATATATATATACTTGTTAATTTGTATAAATTGATGCTAATTTTATACAAATTCATTGAAATCCTAATCGTATCAAATTACAATCATGAATTTGGATCCGGATTCGTAAAATTCAATTCTGTCCGATCCATTTTCACACTTACTTTCTTACAAAGAAAAAGAAAAAAAATTGTATGAATTAAAACAGGAAATAGGTTTTTTAAAATAATTATTTATGACATAAAAGTGGAGTAAAAGACAACGTGTCAAAACCATTCTTCCTCGTTCCCCTAAGTCCAAGGCATACAAAACGTTCTTCTGTTCTACTTTCTCCACAGATCCAAATCCAACCACCTTTCAAAGGGAAAATTCATAGCTTCGCTTCATACCCATTTGCAGAATCGTTTGTTTTCAATAAATTCATCCAATCTCTGTTGATTCTGTTCTTATTTTTTTTTTTTAATTCTGTCATTGTTTTTTTGTCACAGATTCAGACCCACTTCAAACTAATCTATCACAAGCATGAGCAATCTCAATTTCATCTCAACTTTCTATCCTCCTCGCCATCTAATTCTTCATCTGTTTTCTGCTCTCTGCATCATCTCAAGCATCCCGTTCTCGGCTTCAGAGATCAAGAACACGCGCATCATTGAAGACTCGAGACCCATGATCTTGTTTGAGCGATTTGGCTTCGGAGCAGACGGCCATGTCGCCATAGCTATCAAAAACGTCTCGTGGAAATCAAAGCAACARAATTCAGAACTGGACCCGTCTTCAATGGGTTTCTTCCTTCTAAGAGAATTGTCCTACCCGAAGATCTTGAACGAATCGGAGTACACCGATAGCTTCTGCATCGTGTCGAGCCGTTACGTGGAACTGATATTCAAATTTGAACAGCTTTACCCCGATTCCACATACAACGGTTCAGTCATCGTCGAACATCCCGACGAGTACAGTCTGGTTTTCGGCAACTGCCAGCCGGAGTACGAAGTTTCCATGGATGTCCACACAGAGATGTACAACGTGGAGGGTGGTAGAAAGGATTTCCTTCCGGCCGGCCAAACTCAGCTGCCGAAACTGTATTTTCTCTTCTTTCTGGTCTACACGGCCTTCTTCACTCTATGGGTTTCCGTCTGCATCAAGCAGAGTCCGACAGTCGACAAGATTCACATAATAATGGGGGCCTTGCTTCTGGTTAAGGCACTGAAATTGATCTGTGCGGCGGAGGACAAGTTCCATGTAAGAAACACAGGAACCCCACATGGCTGGGACGTAGCTTTCTACATATTTGGCTTCTTCAAAGGTATAATGCTCTTCACTGTGATCATCCTCATCGGAACAGGCTGGTCATTCCTGAAGCCGTACCTCCAGGAGCGAGAGAAGAACGTCCTGATGGCCGTGATACCGCTGCAAGTGCTGGAGAACATAGCTTCGGTGGTGATCGGAGAGACGGGCCCGGCAACCAAGGACTGGTTGACATGGAACCAGATCTTCTTGTTGATTGACATCGTCTGTTGTTGCTTTGTGTTCTTCCCGATTATCTGGTCGATCAGGAGCCTCCGGGAGGCGTCCAAGACCGACGGGAAGGCCGCTAGGAACCTGGCCAAGCTAACCCTTTTCAAGCAGTTCTACGTTGTCGTGGTGGGATACTTGTACTTCACCAGAGTGGTGGTTTCTGCACTAGGAGCCATTATCAGTTACAGATTCGAATGGGTTGTGCCGGCTGCGGTGGAGGGTGCAAGCTTGGCGTTCTATGCCTTCATCTTCTATAACTTTCAGCCCATCGAGAGGAATCCCTACTTTGTGATTGACGATGATGAAGAAGCAGCTGCAGCCCAAGTTTTGGAGGATGATGACTCCTTCCAACTGTGAGTTCGATCCCTCTTAGTCTGTACAGTAGTACTCTCATGATGATGAGGATCATCCACCATGCATGTATGAACCAACTTCATAATCAGAAGGGTAATCTAATTGATCTCTTCTTGTTTCCGAAGCTCTGTTCATCTCAAGCTGTTTTTTTTTTTTTTTTTTTCAAATGAGTTGTCTTCAGCTCAAGATGCCATTACCATGTATGTGTAGTGAACCTTTTTTTATGCAGTAATTTCACAAATTTTTAGAGAGAATTTTTATATTGTAACTGCTATTAAATTTCATCCTAAACACCTATTTAAATTTTTTGTTGGAACATTCATTTATAGGTCTATATGTATTAGAATAACATTAAATTAAAAAAATGAGTTTTTTTTTTTTTTTGTTACTAAGATGAGAATTGTATCACTATTTGGAGAAAACCAGCCCTACTTCACTGCCTTAAATACTAATCTCAAATTCAAAGTGGAAGATATATGCAACCAGGGAAAAACTTCGATGCATGGGTTTTTGGCAATTAAAGAGGTATTATTATAAATTATTGAATTTAGGAATAAGTAATATTACAATGTATATATTCTATACAAGAATTAAAGTATCGGTATTGAGTATTGTATCGGACAATTTATATACAGATAAGGATATGAATACATTTTCGAAATGCATGAATACGAATGAAAGATTCCATAAATATATTAATTACACTAACTTTAAGGTCAAAATAACAACAAATAAGGTATATGTATATAAAAATATATTTTTTAATAGTATATATGAAGAAATATATAACAATTAATATAAYTGGATGCATAGATATCAAACAATTTTGTTGACAATCCATTAGTTAAGAGTCCAAGACTCATATTACATAGATTTTTGCAGATTAACACATGCACAGAGCTATTATTATGTTATATTCTATTTAAGTCCGAAACACAAAACATATGCAATTTTTTTTTATTTTAATTACTATATCAATTATTATCTATTTTACTATTCTTATTTTTCAACACTAACAAAAAAATTCAACTAAGTATTAAACATTGATTTGATAAACAATATATTTATTTTTGTAAACAATAAATATGTTATTATAAAAGATAAATTAAAATATCAATTGATAATTTATAAAAATATATAATCTTAACTTGAAATATATCAAATCTATTAAAATTTCTAAGGTACATATCATATGCAAATTTATCATTTTTAAGTACTAAAATAGTTATTCCATTATTAACATTTTTATTTCTAATTTTTTTTGAAATAAGAAATCATTTTTATATAAATGTAAATTAGTGGATTTGATAGATTATACTTAATATTATATTCTTTACTATTTTGTAAATAATTTTTTTATTTTTAAAAAATAAATATATTGTTTTTAATATAAATTAAAATAACAATGAATAATTTAGAAAAATATATTAAAATTTTAAGATACATATCATGTACAAATTTATGACTTTTAAATAATTTAATAAATTTTATTTTATTTCATTTATTGTTATAAGTTAAAAGGTGAGAGAGAGATATTTAAAAAAAAAGGGATGTTGAATGGTAGGCTGAGAATACAAGGAATGGCATTTTGAAGAGAGGGAACCAAGGAGAAGCCATCTCGCATAGCCATCATTATATATATTTATGAACCAACTGAAGGATGATGACTCAATTAGTATGTTAGCTGTTTCGTTCCAGTAGGGATGGGGATTCGAATCCTACTACCACCAAATTGGGGGGAGGGGGCCTATAAGTGTGGTGCTTGCACTACTCAAACGGTCCCTATGAGTGATTCGGGCGTGTCACCAAATACCAAAAAAAAAGATTAGGATGTATCATTCGTTCATTTGCACTGTGCCCAAATCATTCCTTGTTTTTTGAAGTATAAGACCCAAATCATTTGCACCGTGCCCAAAACATAACCCATGAACAAGTCTAATTTTAACAGTGGAATTAGGGGTGTTAATTGGATTCGATTTGGTCCAATTGATCCACTCTAATGTGAGTCCATTACAAATGGAACTGGTCCAATTCAGTTCAACGAATATTTTGGACCATTTTGGACCAGTCTAGAGATTGTCTAATCTGTTCAAATTCCTATTAATTTAGATTGGTTTCTGATGCTGTGCAATCTGGCTGTTCCTATCTGGAAGTGACTTGACTTCCAGTAGACGACGGATGTGGAGAATCTGCACGGAAAGAACCAGAGAACCCGGGGGTGCTTACCCGGCGAGGTTGCTCCAATGCTTAAGTCAGTACATGCGAGCTGAAAGTGTTCAGAAAGCAAGAGAGCTAGTAAGCAATAATTGTGCGTACCCCTGCCCCCAAAGGGTTGGGGTATTTATATACTAGAGTCCACGCGGGTTTTTTGGAGTGGTTACGGGATCCTCGCCGTGATGTGGCCTATCACCGAATTAATAGGAGATAACGTCGCCAGCCAATAAGGCATATCGTTGTCGTCCGAATCGGTCGGAGGAGATAAGGCCAGCTGTTATGAGGCGTGATCCCGTGAAACATGGAATCCGGTTACGAGATCTTCGGGGTTATCATGTGGAGGCTGACCCTTGTCCCTTGACGTCTTTAGCTCGATTTGCGCGATCAAGCGAAATTCTGACTGTCTGCACGGGGACGTACGACAGAGCTACTACATCTCCCCCAGGCCTGGATTTAAAATCCTATTCGGCTACCTGAACAAGGTTCCGGCCTGGAAAAGACGGTACCTCATCGTCCGTAACCCGGAAGGGTGGTCTTTTCCAACCCATTGGAGGGTTGCTACCCAGGACCCTGGGGTAATCTTGGATGCGAAAACCAGGGCAGTGATTAACTCTTGGAGGGACCTTGGCCTCGAGATGAAGAGCTTCTTGGCCGAGGAGGCACTGATGCGAGCTAGTTTGAGCCCTCCTGGTAGGTTTCCTTTCAGATTTTTGCTCAAAGCATCCTTTAGGCTTTTTGCCTAACCTTTTTTTTTTTTTTGCAGCTACGATGCTAGAGGTTGATGCAAGAAGCCTCCCGATGGGCTCCCGGAAAGGGAAAAAGTGAAAGGCGGCGAAGAGACTCCGTCAGGAGGAGGCTTCGACATCTGAAGCACCCGAGGTCCAGGTATTCGAAGCAACCGAGGTCCAGGTTGCCGAACYGATCTCTACCGAACTCCCAAGGGAAGAGGCCCAACCCACGGACCCCGAGGTGGTTGCGATGGAGGGCTGCGAGGAGGAAGTCCATCCTAAGGAACCGGAGGATGGATCTACGCCAGAAGAGTCTGTTGCCGAGCCAGAGCTCGCTCCTGCTGACGAGGAGGAGAGTATCACGAACCATGTGTTCGCGGTACGGAAGAGTCAGTACGCTGTCTTCCCGAAGGAGGTCATGCGATGGGCTGAGATGCTCCCGAAATGACTCCTGGGACTAGCTTCTAGTCACTGCATGGTGGTAAGCCTTCTGCCTTCGGCTTCTTTCTCTCTTCCCTTTCCTTCCTTCTCTCTTTTTTTTTGTACTGACCTCGCTTCGCTTCTGATAGGTTAACTCCGCCCTTCACGCATTGCCTTGCCAGTCCGCGATCCAGTTAAAGCAGGCTTAGGACGCCAAGGTGGAGGCGCGAAAGCTTCATCGCGACCTGGATTTAGCCCGGGTGAGGTACTTCAGGGAAAGAAAGGAGTTGAATGCCAGAAGCAGCTGATTCTGGATCAGGAGGGGCAGATCTCATCGCTCACCGATGAGAACACCAAGTATAAGGAGCAGATTTCTGCGATGGCCGCGAAGGAGGAGGAGCTGATCGCGAAGATGACCGAGGAGAGGACGCGGTTTCAACGAGAGATCGAGAACCTTGAAGCAATGATCTAAGAGCGAACTCAGATCTTCGAGACCGCCATCGAGAAGGCGCGATCATAAGAGAGAACTAAGGTTGTTGAACGCTTCAAGGAGTAATTGGAATTCCGCGCCCTTCAAGTCGAGTATGGCTCGAGCTCCTACTGCTCTGGATTCAAGCTATGTAGATATCTGGTCCGGCAAAAGTTCCCTGGTCTTGACCTCAGCGCTATCTCAATGGCAGGTTTAGCTCCCAAAGTGGCTACGATAGCGAACGAGGAACCTGACTCRTCAGAGGAGGAGAGCAATGACGGGGTCGAAGTAGTGGGCCCCTCGGTTGTGACTGGCAATCCTCCTGGTTGAGAAATTTTTCTTCTTTTCTATTTCCCTTGGAATTATAAATGTACACCCCGAAGCTATTGAGCTCGGGTCACAAAGAAATCTCCTGTACTTACAATTACTTTATCAATGAAATACATCCTCTTTTCGCAAAAATATTCTAAGTGTGAGTGGCTTCCGATCTGAGTAACAAATGTATAGGTTACCCGAGTTGCCAGGCTACCGAGCAGGACGATAAGTAAGGATAACCAACCATAAGAATTTTCTAAGTGTGGATTACCCCGAACTGCCTACCCAAACTAGCGGGTGTAACTCGCACCCGTGCTACTCATTTAAATGTCGGTTGTCCCTTAACGGGTCCAACGTTGTTTTATGCCGAAATGGGCTAGACATCGTAGGGATTACACCCGAGCTGCCTGTGCCTTAGGCATTTAGAGGTATTTTGCCTATAAYGAAGAAGCGACTAGGACTTATATGCCCATGCCGAGGAGGCGACTAGGTTTTGGGTGCCCATGCCGAAGAGGCGACTAGGACTTATATAATGACAAATCCGTCTGTTCGGTACCTTAGCCCTTCGGCCTTGGGGGCGACTAATTATCCACCCTTCTCGACTCTGGCCATGCCGAAGAGGCGACTGGGTCCTATGTGGTGCAGGGGTCTTTTATCAGTTCGGCACCTTTAGTCCTTAGACTTCTAGGAGTGACTTGCAGTCCGCTCTCCAGTCAGGCGATTACAGATAGTACTGCCCCAAGTAATGTTCCACGCCCGGGGCACCTGTTTCCCTTCTAGGGTTTCATGCTCATACGTACCTTCCCCGAGCACTTGCCTTACTCGGTAGGGTCCCTCCCAATTCGATCCGAGCTTAC